GTTCTTGTCCCCCACAGAGGTCATCACAGCCCTTCCCAAAACTCAGGCTCACAATGTGCCCTCCACCGGGTCTGCTGCCCCCATGCCCCGGCACAAGGTGGGGCGTCAGCCCTCACTAGCCAGAGGACCCCCAGCGACCTGCCCCAGTGGGTCTCCGAAGGGCTCCAAGCTGCCCCCAAAGGCACCTGCAGCAGCCGATAGGGACCACCAGCTGAGGCCTCTGGGCAGGCAAGACCACCGGGAGATGAGTGGGGGGCTGCAGTCCTGGGGCCCACCTACGCATCCTACCCAAAGCCCCCAGGGTTTGCAAGCAGCGGCACCCAAGAACCCCCCACACCAACCCCAACGTGTCTGAACTGCAGTCTTGTTACTTCTTGTGTCAAAAAGCTGCTTCAGGCCAGGAAGGAAGGAAGAGAGGCTGAATGGGGGGCACACAGCTTCCCCCCATTCTGGCCAGGAGCTCGCCCTGCCCCGGCCCATCCCAGCCCAGAGCCCCAGGGCCCTCTGCCAACCCGCCCAGGGCCAGGGCTGGGCCGCGCACGGTGAGCGGGCAGGAGCAGCGGCCTCTGCCCACTGTGGGGTGGCCCTGGAGAGCGGGCACAGAGACAGCCACCGGATCCAGTTACAGGACGGCCCTTGAGGAGGGCGCTGGCCCCAAGCCGGCCGGGTGCGCCCAGGCAGAGGGGACGCCAACCGCGACCGAGCCAGTTCCCTGCCCTTACCCTCCCAGGGCACTTCTAGGAACAGGCCTGATGCAACCCAACCAAGGCTCCCGAGAGCTGGCGGTGGGGGCATCTGGGCGCAGGGCTCGGGACGATGCCATCCACACCCCTCTCATTCCAGGCCTCAGTTTCCCTTCTGTACAACGCGCTCTGTACTGCCCAGGCTGGCTAGGGTTGTCAGCAGAGGCTGTCCCGGGGCCCCACGCCCATTCCTGTGACCCTCATCAAGTCCGGCCCAGCGCAGGGCAGCTGTGCCCAGAGAGCACCCAGCAACCGAGGAGGCTGGAGTGCTGCCCACGTGGGGCCACCAGGCGAAGACCCAGCGACCAGGGCTGGGCGGGCAGTGACCCCTCACCCCCGGCACAAGGCCCAAGCTTCCTCTTTTGTTGTTTGTTTTGAAGGGAGAACTCGACACATTCACAAAACAGGAAACTCAGCCCCACATCTCCGGCCTGGCCTTGGTCACGGCCACACGCCACGGCCATCAAGCCCAGGACCACGCCTGAAGGACCAGTGCCCGCCCTCCTAGGCACTGTCCTTCAAAGTAGACGTTCCGCATCTGCTGCCACCCTCGGACGTAGCCGCCCTGTAAGGACCAGCTCCGGGCAGTTCTGGACCCTTGTGAACGCAGGGCGTTGTATGAGCTGCCTCGGGCACCGAGGGAAGTGCTGGGACCAAAGCCACAGCCACGGGGGTGCGACCTGGATAAGACCTACGGCTGTCCCTAGGTGCCAGAGTGGTACAGGGCGAGGAAACAGGCTCCCTCCCTCAGCATCCCACTGAGCCCTTCCCCACAGGGCACGTCCACGAGACACCAACAGGTAGCCCTGCGGGGCCTCCACAACAGACTGCGCTCACAAGTGGGTGAAACAGAGCCCCGCAGGCCACATCCCCTGGGGTCTGCTCAGCAAATTCACTGCCTCCTCCAAAGAGGGGCCAGGTTGGACACTCCATGTCCCCCACAGGGACCCCAAGGCCAGAGTTGGGTAGGGGGTCATGCCAGCAACGTGCAACCGTGATGTCTCCATCTCAGAGCCACACGAGGGATGCAGGTAATGCTCACGGCTGAAGGAGGGGGGGCTGGAGGAGCCGCGGGCCCAGGAGTCCACTTCCCACCGGGACGGATGCAGGGGACCTAGTCAGCAGGGGGGGCAAGGGCCTCCTCTCTCTGGGTCTGGAGCTGGGGGAGGGTCTGGGCCAGGAACAGGTTCAGGATGGGGGAACAGCAAGGCCTAAGAGGCACCGAACCCACTGAGCTGCGGACACAGTGCCCCCCAGGTTCGACTCCTGGGGTGAAATTCAACTGGAGCTTGGATATGCCTCCTACACGAACACGGCACAGACGCCTGCAGACCACACAGATGGCCACTTCCTGGCGGGGTCCCACGGCCAAAGAAACCCCGCTTGCTGGACCACTGCCTGCCGAGGACAGCCAGGCCTACGCCTCTGCTGGGTCCCTCCTGGCCAGCAGTCAGCCTGCGTGAGCCCAGGTAGGTGCCTCAGGCCCACATCCCACTCCGTCCGAGGTCCAACCCGCTGTCGAGAGCCCACAGCCGCTTCCTTTCCCCCGTGTGCCCGCATCTCGCTGCCGTCCTCCCCTTCCGGGCCCACCTGGTCCGGCCGGCTTATCCACGGGCTGGGGACACAGCACGGGCTCTGCCACAGCAGCTCTCCATGAGGCTGAGCTGCAGCCTAGGCAGTGCCAGCCCAGTGGGCACTGGGAAAGTGGACAGAGGCAGCCGCCTCGGGGAGGACCCGGAAACAGCTGCACAGACGCACCTGCCGAGTTAGCTCAGAGCACACAGCCTGAGGACAAACCAGAGGCCACAACCAAGAGCCAAAGGAGGAAGATGTGACAGAGCAGCTCATGGCGGCTTCTTGGAGGGAGTGGCAGGAGGTGTGGCCTTCTGGAAGAGCTGGGTAAGACAAGGAAATGTGGTGAGGGCCTCCCGCGTGCCCGCGCTGCCAGGCACGGGCACAGGCAGAGTTTTCTAGCCGTCCCCTCCTACCTGCTGAGTGCGCGGGTACCTGCCGCTGGACGCAAGGCCAGGATGCCACCCTGACACTCCCCCACCAGCCCCTAATCAGGGGTGGTCCTGTTCCTGCCAACAGTTAACCCAAAACCACCCACTGCCCCCCCCATGACCTCTGCTCCTCACCCAGTCACCCCAAAGTCCAGCACACAGAAAGAGCCCAAACGTTTGTGGGGAAGAACAGACTAGTAAAAGGATGGCAGAAAACATGACAGTGGAATTTGTGGGGGAGGCAGCTGGCCGGGGACAGTCAAGCGCGTCTGCGACACCGGGACCCCAGGAGTCCCCAGGAATGGGGAGTGGAGGGAATGAGGGACACCCAAGAGGACAGGCCTTCCTCGGTCAGCAGGGGCAGGCAGACCAGGTGGGACATGGGGCCCAGGCCAGAGCACGACAACTACCTAACTACCTGCATAAGGCACGTCCCCTCCTGGGCTATGCAAGGGGCCAGTGCCACCCCTGCCCCCCACCCTCCCCACCACACCATGGCACACGCTGCCGGGGCTGGGGCCAGAGGAGGAAAAGCAGGCAAGGCAGGGCACAGGACCCTCTCCTCTCTCCTGGCCTGCAGGCCGGGGGGCCTGGCTGCACCCCAACTGCGGCCCCCCACAAACCACACTCTCTACTCCTCCAGGGCTTCCCAACACCGCTTCCTTTTTACAGATAAGGAAACCAAGGCCCAAAGAACTCCATGGACTTGCCCTTTGGAGAGGGACACACGGCGGCACTCAAATCACGCTCAAAGCCAGCTCTCCGGATGCCCCTTCAGAAGGCACACACCCTGACTGGCAACTTCAGCTCCTCCAGGCATCGCAGGGGCGCTCCTGAGTCAGCCTTTATCTAACATTCAGTCAACAAATGTTTGCCCAGGTTAAGAGGTCCTGGTTCCAGGGGGGAGGCTGTGTTCTTGTATGGCTGCCAGGCACAGAGGGCAGGGCCAGGGGCCAGGGTGGAGGGTGGGGCCCTGACACCAAAGAGGGCTGTGAGGTGAGGCAAAGGGGGCAGGACCTGATGGGGGTGGGGGGGCTCCAGCACAGGAAGTGGGACAAGGAGAGGGTAAGCACTGGGGGAGGGGATCAGGAAGGCAGGGAGTGCAGGAGGCCTGGGGGAAGCCAGGCAGAGGGGCTCCCCACGGACCACGGGCCCCTGCAGCCTCCTCGCCTCCAGAACAGTCCTCCCTACGGCTACCAGAGAGAGCTCTAGAAACACAACTGACCACATCCTGGACCCCCGGCTCCGCGCTCTCTGCAGCCCCGAGTCTCACCTCCACCACCCCTTTGCCTCCCACCCCAGCTCCTGCAGCTTCCCTGCTCTACTGGGGAGCTCCTACGCATCCCACAAAACCCAGTCCCTGACACCCGCTTTGGCCACACCTCCCTGTCTGCTCTATCTCAACAGCCTGTGGTATCCTGGGGTGGGGAGGAGGACAGCCACACGCCACCTGCGGGAGGGTGAGTGTGAGGGGTTGGCTAGAGGTCTGGCGGGCACGGAATCACCAGAACTTTGGGAGGGCGCAGATCTGGACGAAGAGGAAGTGAGGGCATGACTGGCCAATCCCTATCCTGGGGCAGGAGGGAGCGGCTCGCCCAGGGCATCTAGTGTCAGTAAGGCCTGTCCACCCCCCCACTGCCTGTCCCCGAGCAGGAGGGCGGGGGCTGCAGGCTGTGGGCAGGGCCTCAGCTCCCATCCCAACAGCTCCTGCCCGAGCCCCTCCCTGGGCACAGGGCTGCGTGAGCGAGGAGAGGTGAGGCTGGGAAGGCACCAGGGTCAGCCAGCTCCAGCACAAACATGCCCCATGGCCCGGGCTGAGGCCCAGCAGCCCTGCCCTGCCCTTAGGAGCCCTCAGGCAGTGCCCTGGGCCACCAGTGAGCTAGGCCTTGGACCGGCCCCAGCGTCCTCACTGCCTTCCAGGAAAGTGGGGAGGGAGGCAGCAGTGGCTCGCCCTGCCAACCAGGCCCAGCCAGGCGGTCACTCCACCGCCAGCCAGACAGGCTACACGCTGGGCCTCGGACCTTATGTCCCCCGCCCAGGGGGTCTCACAAGGCCATGCCCTGCACACCATGGGAGACACTGGGCCCTGGACGCTCACCTGGGCAGGCCCAGGAGCCCCAGGGAGGCCCCTCCCATCCAGCAGGCTTGGCTGATAACCACCGAGGCCACTAAAGCACCCGCCACCTGAAGGAGGCCTGCAGGCCCGCTCCCGACCCCGGCCCCCGGCCCAGGCCCAGCCCCCAGGGACACTGACCTCGTTTGTGCAGCCAGCCCTCTTTCACGATGGCCACGTCGTTCATGGTATCTGCTCCTGTGGGCCGGGGCGGCCGAGGCGTCACTCACGCTCCCTCAGCAGGGTCCCTCTGAGCCCAGCCAGCACCCACAGCCTCTGGAAGAAGCAAAAGGGAGCGTGAGGCTGGGTCCAGCTTAGGGGCCACTCCTCCGAGCCAGTGTGAGCCCAGGAGGCTCGTCCCACCTGGAGTCTCAGCCTGGGTCCACCTTCCCGTGTGGCCTGCTGCCCTCATAGCCCTGAGTCACTGCCGCCCCTCACTTTCTTCCCACGATGGCACCTAATAAAAGGCCCTCAAAGCTCCCTGTTCCTCTTACCTACCCCATTCCCACTTCCCCTGGCCTTTGTACAAATCACTCCATCCCTAAAAAGCCCTCCCCGTGTATCCCAGCCTCCTTAACCAGCCAACCCAGCAAAAGCCACCTCCTCCAGGCAGCCTGACTGCTTTAGCCCACCCCACTCAGCCTCCCCAAGCTCCTGGTGACGGTGCCCTGTTCTCCCCACCCATGGTGCTCCCACCCACAGGCTTGGGTCCCCAGGGCCAAGGACAAGTTCCTCCTTCCTGCCCCAGACTGGGAAACTTCAAACATGAAGCAGGCAGCACCAGAAGTATGGGCAGCTGGCACAAATAGGAGCCCAGAGCCCTCCAGGGTGACATGACCGCCCCCCCCCAAAAACCCCAGGCCCCTCCTAAACCACGGTGCCCCTGCCCGCCTGAATCTGGTTCATTCATTCGGCCCATGTAGACCAGGCACCTCAGGTTTGCCAGGCTCAGCACTGGGCACTAGGGACAAAGAGGTTCAGACAGGTCCTGTCTGGAAGGAATCCCCAGTCCAGGGTGGTTACAGGCCTGTAATTAGAGCATCCAGGAGACAGCCAAAGGGGAGCGCTGGACCAACGCAAGGGTCCTCGCACCCGCCCGCAATGGCCCACCAGTGGCCCTCTCTCAAGTAGACACTGGCCCTTCATCTTGCATGGCCCTGCCCATGGCTCCCCTGCTGGATAAACTCCTACACATCCCTCAAAACCCAGTTCCCCCATCACCCATTCTGGGCATCCCGGTCTTCTGCTACTCTCCAGACGGGCACGCGGAGGGCAGGCCCTGAGAAGCTCCTCTCTGGGACTCCCAGGCCAGGCAGGGAGCCCTGAGAATCACTGGAATGGATCCCAATGTGGGTCTTCCCACAGCAGTGCCGATGGTCTCCCACAGACCACCTCACCGGCCTCCTGAGGCAAGGGCTAAACACCCAGAGAAGGTTGCTTTGCATTGATGGTCTGAGGCTAAATTTAGGAGGGCGGTTAGACCCCTCTCACTGCCTGTCTGTGGTGCCAGGACATGGACGACACACCACTTTGCCCAAGGAAGAAAGTGCCAATGTGCTCAGCAGGCCCATGGGCAGCGACGGGAAGATATGACCACATGAGGACAACGCTCTGAGCCCCAGCATGTTGGGCACTGGGGGCTCTGGTGACATGAGTGGGCGTGGCCTGGAGGCAGAGGGCGGGACTCCAAGGCCTCCGGATGTCCCCCTACCCTACCCCCCACCAGGACCTGAGAAGGGCCTGCTGCTGACAGAGTCAGACAGCTGTCGAGAGCCCATGTGTAAAAATACATCTGTACACACACCCCCAATGCCCAGGCCGCCTCTCTGCACCAGACTGGGACCAAGGGGACCTGTGTCCTGCTGCCTCTGTACTGAGTGCCTTCACCATACACGTACACGACTGCTGTCATTACTAAAGCCACAACTTCTTAAAAAGTAGTCTGTGCTCTGAAAGGGCCCCTCCTTCTGTCCCCCAACATTATTCTGTAAACCGTATGTTCAGCTGGGGGGGGGGGGTAGGGAACCAAGCTCAGGGCCTTCAGTAGTACCAGGGGCTCAGAGCAGTCAGGGGGGGGGCTGGAGCCAGGCCAGGGGCCCAGGAGTGAAGGCAGGGCCCTGGGGCCAGAGAGCAGAGGCCCAGGCCCCCCCTCTGCCCACCAGGCAGTGCTCTGGGGCCAGGCCCACCCACGGGGCTCACCATCTGCCGCCACCCTCCAATCTGGGGACCAAGCCCTCGTTGCCCTCCAGGCCCCACGCTCTGGGATGGGTGGGCAGCACCTCCAGCGCCCACCCGGGTCAGCAAGCAGCTTCAGGGCCCACGAGGGTTGCAGCCCTTTGTGGGCTGGCCCGGGCCCCTCGGCCCCACGGGCAACTTTCCGTCTATCGGAAGATGAGGTCTCCTTCCCAGGGCCCCCCCACAAACTTGAAGGAGGGCCGGGGCCGGCCTCACCCTAAGGTCCCCGAGCGCCTCCTGTGCACCGGGCAGCACTGGCCAGGCGCCCAGGGAGCCCCCGGGAAGCCCCCGGCGCAGGGGCGCCCTCGCCCCGGCCCGGCCGCGCCCCTCCGCCCCAGCCTGGGCCTCGCCGGCCGGCGGGCCGCCTCTCCAAGGTCATGAGGGAGGCCGGGACCGGCGGCCCGCACCCCCCGGCCCGCGCCCTCCCCGCCCAGGCCGCCCTCGG